TTCCAAAACCAATAAATGTTCACTGCAAAAAAAAAATACAATATATGATTTATTATAAAGTGATAAGAAAACATGCCAACCCCCATGCTACCTCAGTCCCATTTCCCAGATGTAACACACCACAACAGTGCCATGTTTAACCTATCGTCCTTGCAAACCTTTTTCTCTAGACATGCGATTGACCAATCAACAAATATTTATTGAGCATCTACACTGTGCCAACCACAGTAGCAGGAGCTGGGGAAACAGCAGGGAACAAAACAGACTAAATCCCTGGAGGAGAGGTTCATTCAAACAGTACACATATGGTAACATACATCATTACATGTACAGTTTTTTAAAAAACTAAATGAGATGCTATAAATATTCTTTTGTGTTCATCCAATTTAGAGAAGCTGAAAAATGCCCAAAGTAGGAGGGGAAAAAAGAGAAAAACCTCGTGAGGTTTAGATTCATGATCCAAAGAGAGTTACATTTTTATAGCTTTGTTTAATACCCTCCAGTTGTTTATATATAGTTTTATTTTACAAAGTCATGATCATACAGAGTATAGATTTTCGTCATCTTTTTTTTCTTACGAAAGAAGTGCAAACAGAAAACGTAAACAAGAGCAAAATTCCATGTAAATCTACCACCCAAAATAATCATGGCTACTCTTTAATATCATTTTTTTCCCCAAAACTGGGAGCTTGGGATCACACCGGATCTACCACTTGGTAACAGACTCTGATCTTGTAACACATTTCTGTTGTAATTCTGTACCATCATTTTCATGGCTATAGACTTGGCCTATAGCTGTGAAAGTGGATTCACTGTAATGGGATCAGCCAGTCTCCTTTCCTGGGATATTAGGATATTTTCAATTTTTTATTTTCATGCAAACACTTAAGTGAATGCAAAGCAAAAGGTCTGCACATATTCTTAGTTACCTAAAGGTATGATGTTAGATTGTTTTTCTTCACTTGTATTTTCACTACATCAAAATGTTGATTGCAGTTATCTTTGGTGGTGTGATGTGAGATTATTACTTTGTTTTCATACTTCTTTATTTTCTCTAAATGCCTTGCAATGAACAGGTTTTATTTGCATAAACACAATATTATTTAAAATGATGCCATGAAAATTTCTGTATAACCGCCGTTTTCATGGTAATGGCTTGTTACGGCTGCCTGTAATTCCACATAGGGGATAGGCCGTAATTCACTTAACCATCCCCTATCATTGACCGTCTGGGCTTTTTCCAACTCTTTAAGATCGTTATACAGGAAACCTACTCCATATCTGGGGTCACGTCCTCAGGGAGCAGCCCAGCAAAGGCTGGTGAACAGATTTCACACCTTTGGTTCATCCTGCCAAGCTGCTTTCCCGAAAGGATGTTCCAATTTCCACTCCCACCGGCAGTGCGTGGGAATGCCTGCCCAGCCGCCCTCCTCTCCCTGAGACGGTTCAGGCCCCTGGACAGTTGCGTCCTCTGCCAGGCGGGCAAGAGAGAGCAGGAAATAATTTGGCCAGCAAGTGACCCCAGACCCAGAACCAGGAGTGATTTTTAACAAGCCTGATTTCTCAGAACAGAACCTGCAGAGAAAAAGAAAGCAAGCAAGGAAAAAAAAAAAATAAAAAACCTCTCTACTGGAAAAAAACACACACATACACAGATTAAAATAATATTTGGCACTTACGTCGCACTTTTAAAATTCTTCAAACGCTTTATAAACACTAGCTAATTAATTAAGCCGCCTAAATCTGGCTGCAGTTGGTGGAGAGAGCTTGAGAGGAGCTAAAAAAAAAAAATGGGGGAGCCAACCCTACACAACTCCAGATTTTATTGTCGCCTGCCTGGGGTGTGATTACAGGCCTCCGGCTGCACCACAAGAATAGCCCTGCTCCAACATGCTGCACGCCTGACTCTGCAGCCTCTCCTGCGCCTCCTGCTCCCTCACCAACTGCTGACTCACAGCCCCGTGTGGTGTTATTGATAAGGATAATAATAACTGCAAGCCAGGCTCAGTCCCGGGCTCCAGGCCTGCACCCTCTCCTAGATATGCCAGTATCAACTCCATTTAGCACATGAAGAGAGAGGAGATTTGCCCAGGGTCATGGAGCCGACGAAATCCTTCCATCATTCATTAACGGTATTCATTCTGCATATTTTTATCGATGACACTGTTTTAGGCAGGAGGCTGGAAACAGTCCCTTGTGGATCCTACATCCTACTATTGGGAATGTGACAATCCAGAGAAAATCAAATATATGAATAATACAGCTATGTGATGATAACGGGAAGGAGAATTAAAACTTACCCAGCACCTATGCAGCAGTCTTACCACCGTGTTGGGGTCCTCATGACTGTGCTGGGGTGGATGCCAGAACCCCACTTTGTGGATGATGGAATGGGGGTCCAGGGAAGGTGGGTACAGAGGTGGCTAAGGCGGGAGCCATGCTGTTGCCCAGGCCTGCTGGCCCCAGCAGATGTGCTTCCTCAAGGCAGCCTTTCCAGTTGGTCCAGTCTCGAGGCTGAAATACAGACCTACTGGGAAAGTTTCTAGCTCAGTGCTGCTGGCAGCTGCTGGTGCTGCCTCTGATGTCCCCGCCTGGACGGGCCTCCCACACATCTGGCCACCAGCCTCACCCCTCTCAGGCTGTCTGATGCTGGCTAGGCCTCTGTCCACTGTGGGTTCTGTTTTTTTCTCCTGTGCCATGAAGATCTTGCCATGTTCAACTTCAAATGGAAATGAAATGAGAAGCTGGACTTCCTGACAATAAAAGCAGTTGAAGTCTTAAGTGATTGGTCAGGAAAATAAAGTCGAAATGGTCATATTTACACCCAGAGCAGGTGAAGTGGTCTTAGGTACTCTGAGACTCCACTCACCTGCCATGAGAACTGGACCCCAAGGGTGATCCCTTGCAGTCAAGACTGGGTGAGGCTGGGAATGGGAGAAAGAGGCAGGACAATGGGCAGATAGCCCTGGGCTTGCTGCAGTGAGGGCAGACAGGGGTCTGTAAGCCTCTTTCCCTGGCTGCCCTGCCCCTGCCAGTGGGGTGGTGCCAGGCCATGGGTTGCTGGGCAAATTCACAGGGTCTCTCTCCTGCCCAGCCAGAGCCAGAGGGGCTGCTCTGGACATCTGCCTCAGCCTTGTCTGATGTACAAGGCAAAGGTGGCCCAGGTCAGGGCAGGACAAGGTCAGTGGAGAGTCCAACTGGGGCCCCAAGTCACCTGTCACCTGCATACCAGGTAGCTGCCACTCCTCTGTCTACCTCATTCTCTCCTTCTCCCCCATTCTAGCTCTTAGGCATGTGTTTCTCTGAGGTCTTTATGATCATGATCTGTCTCTTATTTTTGAGACAGAGTCTCACTCTGTCACCCAGACTGGAGTGCAGTGGCGCGGTCTCAGCTCACTGCCAGCTCCGCCTCCCGGGTTCATGCCATTCTTCTGCCTTAGCCTCCCGAGTAGCTGGGACTACAGGCGCCCGCCACCTCGCCCGGCTAATTTATTTTGTGTTTTTAGTAGAGATGGGGTTTCACCATGTTAGCCAGGATAGTCTCAATCTCTTGGCCTCGTGATCTGCCTACCTCAGCCTCCCAAAGTGCTGGGATTACAGGCGTGAGCCACCGCGCCCGGCCTTTCTTTTTTTTGTTTCTTGTACCTCACCTTGTTCAGAATCAAGGCCCAGGCTGTGCCTTGCTCTGAACTGTTCTCACTCGGTCCCTAAGCATCTTCAACGCATCTCATGACAACCTCATCCTGCTTTCCTCTTCCTATCTGGGCTCTCTCCCCTGCACCCCAGTCTCTCCACCCAGGGTCCCTGTCTTGTGTGCCCCAGTGTCTCTGATTGGAGCTCAGGCTCCTGCAGCCGACCTCTACAATTCCTTCCCGCTACACATTTGGGAGCCCTTGAGGCCTGGACTGGGTCCAGCTCCAGTGTGTCCCCATCACATTGAGGCCTGGGTCACAGGGCATCAGCAGGTATTGGTGAGAGTGAAGTTTGAGCTGCAGCCGCCGCCTTGTTTATTCAGTGTATGTTAACAACATCTTCCTCAGTGCCCGGCTCCCGGCTAAGTGACTTCTATGTGTGATCTTGTTTTCTTTTCAGAACAAAGCAGAGGCCTCGGGGGTGTTCTACCCATCCTGTAGATAAGAAAACTGAGACTCAAAAGCAATGGATAAACTAAGGTCCCACAAGAACAAAGGGCGAGCCAGGTTTTAAACCAGGTCTGATGACTCTAAAAACCAGATGCTGCGTTTGGACACTGTCCCCAGCCTTGGCTTGTTTTATCCTCCCAGAGATCCATCGAGGTGGGGTCATAGTAACTATTTTATAGACGAAGAAACCAATGCTGAGAGCAGTAAGGGCAAACTAAGGGCAGCTCTTGCATTTGTGTGGCACTTTGCTAGCCAGGCTCAGTCCTGGGCTCCAGGCGGGGACTCAAACACACTGGCATGAGTCTACATTGGATATTCTTAGTCACCTGAGTGGTGGCCCAAGGACACAGCTATAGGCCACTGATCCAGAACTCAAACCACATTCTCCTACTGCCCAAACCGCTGAGTACAGCCTCCCTTCTCGGGGCCTGCATCCTGGACCAGGTCGGAAACAGAATCTAACGCCTTGTAGAGCCCCACACATGCCAGGCCCCCTTCGCTGAGACTTTGCCCAGCCTGTTGCCTCTCTCTGGAACACCAGGCTCCCTTCTGGCTCATTCAGATTAGAATTAGAGAGCCCAGCTCAGATGTGACTCTTCCAGAGAGGTTCCAAGCATTCAAACCCACTCTCTGCCATGTCACTTAGCTTTCTGTGCCTCAGTGTCCCCACTTAGAATATAGGCTCATGTTGCAGGTTTGTTGTGAGGGTTAAATGAGATAATACACGCAGTATACTGACCTCACAGCCTGCTCCTGGTGTGCACCCTGTCGATGAAAGTCATTGATAAACACTTGAGGCAACACAGAGGATCATGTAAGGATGGAAAAAAAAAATGACGGCTTTGTGCTCCTTTCCAGGAGTGTTGGGTGAGGAGGAGTTGCAGGTGATTCAGCCTGAGAAGTCCGTGTCCGTCGCAGCTGGAGACTCGGCCACTCTGAACTGCACTGTGACCTCCCTGATCCCTGTGGGGCCCATCCAGTGGTTCAGAGGAGCTGGACCAGGCCGGGAATTGATCTACCATCAAAAGGAAGGCCACTTTCCCCGGGTAACATCTGTTTCAGAGTCCACAAAGAGAAACAACATGGACTTTTCCATCCACATCAGTAACATCACCCCAGCAGATGCCGGCACCTACTACTGTGTGAAGTTCCGGAAAGGGAGCCCCGACGTGGAGGTGAAGTCTGGAGCAGGCACTGAGCTGTCTGTGCGTGGTGAGTACAGTGCGGGCCTCCTTCGTCCCCTGGTGTGTGACAATAACTCAATAATAACACCCTCCATTCTTAGAGCAACAATCAGGTGTGGTGGTGGGTGCTCCTTTTCATGAATTAATGTCTCCCCCTTTTACAGATAAGGGAAGTTGAGGCCTGGAGATGTCATGCTATTTGCTCAAGGCTCCACGGCTGGTAAAGGGTGGGAACATCTGCATCCTTCATCTGCCTGGCTCTGTAGCCCTGGCCTCTTCAAATCGGGCCCAGCCCTTTGGTTCCACAGATGAGGGAACTGACAGAGTGACTTGCCCAGGCACAGGGCCAGAGCTCACCTGCTGCCTCCAGAGAGCACTTCCCCCTCAGTGTGGCCGAGTCTCCTCTATGCGACAGGCACTCCCTGAGAACCTACTGTGTGCCAGGCTCCACCAAGCTTGTGTTCTCATCCCTTCCAATAAGAATCCACCCAGGGCAGGGAGCAGCGGGGGTGTGCTTTCCTTTATTTCATCACCAAACATCAACTAAGAAGATTCCTAAAAGGCACAGATTTACTGTTTGATCTGAATGCCCTGGTGAAGAGGAGAAGCCAGAGGTTTGGGCATTTTCTGTGGGTCTTTTAGAAAAACCCTTGTATCGTTTAGGGACTGATTCATGCAGTCACTAAAGGCTCTGAACAAAGCTGGGTCATCATAGAATGTCCCTCACCCCAGGGAGGAGGTCTCCCTTCTAGGTGACTTTGGGTTCCTCAGTTAAGGCAGCAAAGATGTTCATTTTGTATTTACTGCCAGAGCACCAGAATCCTCGTTCAAACTCCGGATCCTGGGACATTAGTGCAGGAAGGACCCTCAGACCATGCAGCCCAACCCCCAGTTACAGGTGGAAACTTGAAGTCAGGAGATGACAGGGGCCTTGCCCACAGTCACAGGACCAGTTGGTGACAGGATCTGGACTAGAGCCCACATCTGATTCCGGGAAGGCTCGTTCCTGCCCATGTTAGACATTGTTTCCACAGAAGAGCCTGGTGCATCACAGGTGCTGACTGAAAGCTCCTTGAACAGAACCGCTAAGCAGGGAGCCAGCACTTCTCCTTTTCATCAGTTTCCTAAAGGTTCAGAATACTCACATTCAGACCGTTACACCCATTGGTGATTGGAAAACCTCTCCCAAATGTAAGCCTTAGCGTTCGATGAGATTTCATATCAGGATGGAGACCTGCTGCATTGTGTAATAGCTACAGAATACTCCAGCTTATGGAAATGTCAGATTTATTTTGCAGTCTTCCATTGATGGATACGTAAGTTGTCCCCAACCTTGAGCTATTAAAACAGTTCTGCAGTGGATGACCTTATACATGTGTGACCTTACTCAGGTGGGAGACGCCCACTGGAAGTGCCATTGCTGGATCAGAGGGGGTGTGTGTTTTAATGTGTGTGGAGATGGCCTAATTTCCCTCCTCGACATTATAACAATCAAGTCTCCCCACAACCCCTGGACATAGGCAGGAGGGTGGCTTTATCCTGATTGTGCAGATATTACAGGAAGAGACATTGAAGTTCCCAGATGATGCATCCCGTGCCTAGACAGTCACAGCAAGTAAGTGGCCTAGGTGTGACCCACATCTGCTGACTCCTAGTAGAGTGCTCACTCCTCTTTGCCATGTTGTCAGCCTAAATGATGCCCTGGATGAGAAAGGAGGGAGGTGGGAGGAGGCCATGGAGCAGCAACTGGGCCAGATCCTCATCCTGGCACTTTCTCCTTTTATAACAAGTACTATGAAGGAAAAGCCATTTCTTGCCCCTTTTACAGATAGGGACTCTGAGGCTCAGAGAGGAGACCTGTGTGGTGAGCAAGTAGGGGAGCCAAAGTTTGGTCCCCACCAGCCTGACTCACAGCCCCTGTCTCTGTAACACTCAGCTGTGCTTGTCAAAGTGTGGAGAAATGCTCCACCCTTCTCATTCCGAACTCTTGCAGTTCTATAGCAATAAGCATAGGCTGAGGCAGGAGAATTGCTTGAACCCAGGAGGTGGAGATTACAGTGAGCTGAGATTGTGCCACTGTACTCCAGCCTGGATGACAGAGCAAGATTCTGTCTCAAAAAAAGAAAGAAAAAACAAAACAACAAATCCTATGGGAGTAGGAGGGACTGGCCCCCATCAGAAAGGTCCTGCAGATGTCTCATGATATGGGAACCTGTTCCTGAAGGACAGGTCTCTGCACATCACTGAGCAGCATCCATGGAGCAGAGTTGGGCCTCCTGCAGCCCGGCAGACCACATGCTCATCTACTCATGGTGCTGAGGACTAAGGATAAGGAGATGAGTCATTTCCTGGTGGGTTCTTGGGGCTCACTGGAGCAAGAGTTTATATTCTCCCCTCAGGCTGTCAGGAGCCCACTGACTTCAGTTTATGGCTATAGGGTAACCAGATCTGGGTGCCCTGGCAGGAGGCTTCTCCCTAGAATTGCATGAAGTCAAGGATCTCAAAGGGAAAAAGGGAAGGTGGTGGTCAGTGTCAGGGTTCATGAAGTTCAGGCACTTGCTCAACTGATAAGACACGAGAGCTTGGGGAACGCTGGAAATGCCCATTGGGTACTTGGGGGATGAGGAGACAGTGCCTTTGCTTTTCTCAGCCTCGTTTTCCTCATCTGTAGAATCAGACTGGAGTGCAGTGGCGCGATCTCGGCTCACTGTAATCTGCATCTCCTGGGTTCGAGCAATTCTCCTGCCTCAGCCTATGCTTATTGCTATAGAACTGCAAGAGTTCGGAATGAGAAGAGTGGAGCATTTCTCCACACTTTGACAAGCATAACTGAGTATTACAGAGACAGGGGCTGTGAGTCAGGCTGGTGGGGATCAAACCTTGGCTCCCCCACTTGCTCACCACACAGGTATCCTCTCTGAGCCTCAGAGTCCTTATCTGTAAAAGGGTCAAGAAATGGCTCTTCCTTCATAGTACTTGTTATAAAAGGAGAGAGTGCCAGGATGAGGATCTGGCCCTGCTGCCCTTGGTGATAATCAGGGACTCCTTTGGGAGAATGGAAAGGATTTGAGTTCCTGTGTATAAATCACCCAGTGCAGAGTAGATACCCCCAAATCAAGGTGTTATTTTATTTTTTATGGGATGAAGTTTCACTCTTGTTCTCTTGTTGCCCACGCTGGAGTGCAATGGCGCCATCTTGGCTCGCTGCAACCTCCACCTCCTGGGTTCAAGTGATTCTGCTTCAGCCTCCCGAGTAGCACCCACCACCACAACCAGCATTTTTTTTTTTTTGTATTTTTAGTAGAGACAGTGTTTCATCATGTTGGCCAGGCTAGTCCTGAACTCCTGAACTCAGGTGATCCACCCACCTTGGCCTCACAAAGTGCTAGGATTACAGGTGTGAGCTACTGCGTCCTGCCATCAAGGTGTTATTTTAAGATGTGTTACCTTGGGCAACCCAGTTCCCCTTGCTGAGCCTCAGTTTCCCCATGTGTAGAATGTCGATAATGGTACCAACCTTTCCAGGATGTTATGAGGATGCAGTGAGCCTGAGGAGACGATAGACCTTAGTAAGCAGTGGGGTTTTCCCAAGATCATGTGATCTTGGGCGAATCCTGGCTTCCCTTGAGTCCTCAGCTTCCCTGTCTGTGAAATGGTGATGATGATTGCCAACCCTCACGGGTTCTGTGAGGATTGGAGAGGTTGTACACAGAGCCTCGAATGGTGGCGGTGTTCAGGTTGTCCCTGAACTCCTGCAGAACTGTGGTTAGGAGAGCGTGGCCAGAGTCCAGCTGCCTGGGCCACATCCCAGCTCTGCCACCTCCTGGCTCTGTGACCTGGGAGAAGGCACTCCACCACCATGGGCCTCAGTGTCCTCACTTGTATGTGATAACACCAGCCTCACAGACCAGGAGTTGGGGCCGAATGAGTTAAATCCTGTAGAGTGCTTAGGGCAGCACTTGGCCTGCAGTCAGTGTTCAACAGATGTGAGCTCTGTAATGCCAAAGCCATGCAACCTCAGATGGGTCAGTGCTCCTCCAGCCCTCAAGTGGAAATGGTGCTTAGGGTGTGCTCAGGTAGCTTTCAATCTTGGCTGCTCTTTAGGATCATCTGGGAAACTTTGAAATCAATCCCAGGCTCTACCACAGACATGCCTCTTCAATTGGCCTGACATGGGCCTAGGCATCTAAAGTTTTTAATTAATCCAGAAGATTCTAGTACAGAGCCAGGATTAAGAACCCCTGGGATAGACACCCAGAGGTCACAGAGGACAAGTTGGAAAAGACGGTCTTCTGTGGTGCCAGATGGGAGAACAGCTTTTCAGGCTGTAGATGCTTCTGAACAACATGTACCCGGGACAGCTCTTTGGAGGCCCCAGTGGCCTGGCCAGACCCCCTCTTATAATACGGGCCTACAGGGGCCAAGGTAGGGGCCCCAGACAAAGCCCTGCTCAGATCCAACCTCAGGGCGGGGGAACCTTCTATCTTGAAAATGTTTGTGTCTAAACAACCGCCGGAATCCCAGCAAATCCTTCCAGTTCGGCCCCAGAACCCACCCTGCCTCGACACACCAAGCTGTCACGGAGGAATCTGTTCCCTCCTCCTTTAAAATGCTTCCAGCTTCCATAAATGGCTCCTCTGGAGGGAGGCGCCTGTGATCTTGTTGGTGTTTTGAAAGCCAATTCGCCAAACTTGTTTCCTGAGGGGCTTGTTTAGAAAAGGGGAGAGAATCCTCACTTGGTGGTTTCTGCTCCTTTTATCATTTGGGTTTGTCATGAGCTGCAGGGAGCAGGGTTTGAGCCTTTTCTTGGTGTTTCCGCTCTGCTTTGTTCTGCTGCCTAAAGGATAAATGTGTAGATTCAGAAGCAGTAATGACCAGACCTCCTGATAACAGGCACAGGGGTCATTTATTAAGCACCTGCTACATACCAGGCTCTGTGCTTGCATTCAACCTCCTTCATCTTACCAGGGTGGGGTTTGTATCCACTTTTGGCCCTGGGCCTCTCTGAGCTTCGTCCTAAAAGGGGCTCACACGAGGATCCCCTCACAGAGATGGAACGAGGATTAACGAGCTGAGGAGCATGGAGAGAGCAGCCAGTGTCCAGCTCCAGAGAAGCCCTGGATAAATGGGAACTGATTGCAGCCCCTCAGCCCTGTGGGGACATCCAGGCTGCTGGCCTCGATGACTTGACTTCTTCAAATGACACCCTCCTTACTGTGCCCTCAAAATGTTTGACGGGTGTTAGGGAGCAAGTTAATATTTACAAATGCGAGTATGTGTGATATGTGCTTCCTGGTGACTGCGCTAGGAGGCACAAGGTAATAATTAGCAATTTGGAGACACGTTTAGGGCCCATCTGCAGGGAGAAACAGCCCACGTTCTGGTTCAGCCATTTGTGTGCTTTCAGGACCCAGGAAGTGCTTCTGCCTGCTTGGGCGCCCTGTGTCTGTGCAATTATTGATAATTAAGAAATTAACCCCTTTGGCTTTCTCCACACTTGGTGATCTTTGATATCTATCCAAAGCTGACCCCAAAGAAGACCCCAGATTCAGAAAAGTATTCCTTCCTTCCAAATGTAGCGCTTGGCACAGATTAGCCCCTGCTGGAATATTTGTGGAGAAAATGAAAAATATGAAGTAAATTCATAAATACCTGAAGAGAGAGCTTTGGATATGAATAAAGTCTGGGTTAAAGTTAGATCTGTTTTTGCTTATTTTTGTGAAGCATCTTCTGTTTATCCAAAGCAAAACTGCTTCTGTTGCCTCATTTAATCCTCGCTGCATCCCAGGAAGGAGAAATGCTGCTGTCCCGTTTTACAGACAAGGAGCTGGGTGTGCCGGGCTGCCCCTCTCATGGGCTGAGCGGCCTGGTTCCAGCTGTCAGGGTGGTGCCACTTTGCTGCTTACTCCCTGTACTGACCTCTATAAATGCTCTCTCTGGGCTTGGCACTGTTTCCGGGGGGGGGCAGGGTAGAAAGAGTTAATACCAAGGATGAGATGGATCGTTAATTTTGATCCTGTGCCCAAATTGGTGGAAATCACCCTGTGTGGAGTGGAGAAGTTTGAACTCAGGCCTGGACTTCCCTCTGGGCCCTGCCCCTACACTGTCTGACCTCACCTCTCCCAACCTTTGCATCCTGCTCTGTAAAATGAGAATAAGGACACCACCCTCATTAATCCTTCCACATTATTGGAAGGATAAAAAATAATGTCTCGGAAGGTTCTTAACGTGTCACACGCTTATCGTTAGTGATGGTCATCTCAGTCATGTCTCCTGTTTATCGATGCTCCTTTTGTAGCCAAACCCTCTGCCCCTGTGGTATCGGGCCCCGCAGTGAGGGCCACAGCTGAGCACACAGTGAGCTTCACCTGCGAGTCCCACGGCTTCTCTCCCAGAGACATCACCCTGAAATGGTTCAAAAATGGGAACGAGCTCTCAGACTTCCAGACCAACGTGGACCCCGCAGGAAAGAGCGTGTCCTACAGCATCCGCAGCACAGCCAGGGTGGTGCTGTCCCGCAGAGACGTTCACTCTCAAGTCATCTGCGAGGTGGCCCACGTCACCTTGCAGGGGGACCCTCTTCGTGGGACTGCCAACTTGTCTGAGGCCATCCGAGGTAGAAGACCTTTACCCAGCCCAAGCCCACACCTGGCTGCCAAGCCCGTTCCCCACCACCCTCCACCCATCCAACTCTACTTTCGCTCCAGGGCTTGAAATGCCTGGAACCTAAATTCCTAACTGCCCACCTCCCATGCCCCTAGATGTGCCGGTCACTTACTAACATTTTAATGGTAGTGGCTAGGTGACCACCCACCGGGTGCCAAGGACTGCGCTCGCAGTTTCATTTATTTCACCAATAGCAACTACAATTAATGAGCACCTACTATGAGCTAAGCCTCTATGTACTTGGTGGTTTTCTTTATTTTGCTACAGTTGTAACATTCCAACTGCATGCCAGGGGTGGTGCTTATAGATTTCACCCATTCTTAGCCTAGTAGGAGCTACCAGTCCTTGAGCACCTACTGTGTGCTGGGCATTGTACTTAGTAATTTCATTCATATGCAAAGAGCACCCTCAATGTCTGAGCATGTGCTGCCTGCCTAGCACTGTCCTGGTGACGCCCTCACCGTGGTGGTGGGAGCTACGTTATGGAGCCCTCCCTGTGATCTGTCTGTGCCACAAGGTCACAGCTTCTGCCCTGTGCTGTTTCAGTTCCACCCTTCTTGGAGGTTACTCAACAGTCCATGAGGGCAGACAACCAGGTGAATGTCACCTGCCAGGTGACGAAGTTCTACCCCCAGAGACTACAGCTGACCTGGTTGGAGAACGGAAACGTGTCCCGGACAGAAATGGCCTCAGCCCTTCCAGAGAACAAGGATGGCACCTATAACTGGACGAGCTGGCTCCTGGTGAATGTGTCTGCCCATAGGGATGATGTGAAGCTCACCTGCCAGGTGGAGCATGACGGGCAGCCAGCGGTGAACAAAAGCTTTTCCGTGAAGGTCTCAGCCCACCCGAAGGAGCAGGGCTCAAATACCGCCGCTGGTGAGGCCTCTATTTCAGCTGACCCAGCTCTTTTAAACTTTTAGTTTTGTGGGTTTTTTAAATGTTAAAAGTAGTAATTCCTGCTTATTATAGAATAATCTAGAAGTCTATAAATATAAAGTAGAATTTTAATGTCAGCTCCATTTCCCCAAATCCCACACTCCAAGAGTCACCACTGGTAAGGGTTTGACACACATCTTGATAGATCTTTTGACATAGATTTATATCACAGGAGGAAAGAGGGAGAGAGGGGGCCCATCTGTTCATGGCGTCCTGCATCTTGCCTTCTTCACCTGATAGTTGTCACGCTCCCCATTCCTCACTGGCCCAGCCCCTCTTCCCTACTCTTTCTAGCCTCTGCCTCATCTGCCTGGCTGCAACTGGGAGCCTGCCCCACTGGAAGCCGGGGTGGAGTCATTCAGGGTGTTTGCAGCTTGTCTCACGTACAGTCAGTGCTTCAGTGAACATCCTTGTACATGTTCCATCCCACATGTGATTATTTCTGTGTGATTGCCCAAGGAACACTTTAGGCCAAAGGGCATACTCATGTAAGGAGGAGATAATGCTGTCACTCCCCTGAGAGAGTGTGAGGGTGTCAAGGTATCATTTTCTCAGCCCCTGCAACGTGGTGTTGGTGTACATCTCTTCTGTTTGCAAATGGTGGCACCTGGTTGGCATTTCAATGCAGCCATGGAATATTTCATCACCTGTTATCAATGTGGCTGATGCCCTGTACACAGTAGAACCCTTGCATGGATTAGTAATAGAAGCCATTTATGTCCTTCATGCACCCTTCAGGGAAGCTCTAAAAGAGAGCCTTGGGGCTGTGTCAAAGTGACCGTTTGGTTTCACCAGTGCCGGGTTTTCATAGGACGTGTAGGACATCGGCCAATGCCGGGTTTTCATAGGACGTGTAGGGCATCGGCCAATGCCGGGTTTTCGTAGGACATGTAGGGCATCAGCCAATGCTGGGTTTTCATGGGACGTGTAGGGCATCGGCCAGTGCCAGGTTTTCCTAGGATGTATAGGGCATCGGGAGACAAGATGTGTGGCTTTCCATGCCAGCTGTGTCGCAGACTTGCTGTGTGACCTTGGACAAGTCAGTGCCTCTTTGGGCCTCCACTTGCTCGTAGCTGTGCTGAAGGGGATGAGCTTCATGACCTCTCAGCTCTGAGTCTCAGGTGGTAGGGGCCATAATTATCTTGCTCAGCATTGTAGCTTCAGGGCCTGGCCACAGTAGGCACTCAATAAATGCTTTTTGAGTGAAACAGGATGAAAGAGTTAGTTGGTTAGCTGGTTGGTTGGTTGGTTGGTTGGTTGGTTGGTTGGTTGGTTATATAATCCTTACTTAGCCAATGAGGTAGAGATGACCGTTGGCCCCAATAACAGAAGCAGCAGCCAGGGTTTGGAGGGCGGTTTAACTGACTTGCCCAGGGTCACACAGCTACTTAGTGGCATTGATTTGAAAGCACTTTTCTGTGGCTTAGAGCCCTGCTCCTGATGAGCCACTGTGTTCTAGTCTACGACCCCCTTACCTGTGCCCTGGGCAGCCAAGCCTCCATTGTCATTTCAGGAGTCCTGCTTCAGAGCCCCTGTGCTAACTCCTGAGCCCAATGTGACGGCCCAGGTGCCGGGCACAGATCAATGGTGAGCCCCTGAGCTGTGCAGACCCTAGTAGCCACACTGCCCCTTCTTCCAGCTGCTGATTCAGTTTCCAGTGGATCTGGGATACCCTCGTGACCGCTCTGTGGTTCACTCCAGATGAGAAGGAACATTTCTGTTCCTCAGGAGTGAGATTTCTGCCTGTATCCTGCAGCAGGGGTTCCTCTGTAGCTGTCAGCGGCAAATATATTCCCCCCTGGCACCTCAGCATGGTTTTTGTGCTGTTCATGGATGAGCCTCGTGGGCAAGTGTGTACAGACCCGTGAGTGTGCCCATGTGACTCGAGACATCTGAGAAGGCCCAGCCAGATGTTCTCAGCTAATGATGCCTGCTTAGTGGTGAAATGCTGTGGTGGGTTTGGTTTTCTCTGTTTTTAATCTGCATACGTGAAGCCTCTATTCCATGTGGTCCCTAGAGAATACTGGAACTAATGAACGGAACATCTATATTGTGGTGGGCGTGGTGTGCACCTTGCTGGTGGCCCTACTGATGGCAGCCCTCTACCTCGTCCGAATCAGACAGAAGAAAGGTGGGTGCATTCCCCTCTTCCTCCCTAAGGGTTTGTCCCTGGACTGTCCTCAGAGGGAGACGCCATTAGGTGTTTTGGGTTAAGGACATCATCTTCTGCCAGTAGCAAGAAGTCCAGAGGTAGTGGTGCTGGGGCTGGGGCAGTGGCCTCACCACGTTAGAGTCTGGGTGAGTCACTCCGTGGCTTCTTCCTCATGGTTACAAGATGCTTATCACTGCCCCAGGCCCCATGTCCTCAAGAGGCCACTACTGAGCAAGGGAGCTGCCAACCTGGGAAGAGGGGAGGCAGGGACTCTTCTTACCTGTCTCAGGGAGGACATTGTCTTTCCCAGGAGCCTCCCGGCAGACTCCTGCTTTCCTGGTACAAATCTAGGTTACATGACCAGCCCCTGGACAGGAGGCCAGAGAGAATGGAGATAATAGCGCCACCATTTGATTGGGAGGACTTAACAAGTGATTGCATGGAAACTGTTAGGGAAGTAACCTGGCACACAAGTGCTCAATAAATGTCAGCCCTGAGTATTACCCATATTGTATGTGAGCCCGGAACTATGAGCCACCTCCCTGGAAAGCCCCCTCACAGGGCAAGGTGCATAGTCTTTGACTGCACAGCAGGAGGGCACAGGGTCAAACCCAGGGCACAGCTTCCCCTTGTTCGTGTGCATGTGTTATGTGTGTCTTGTGTCTGTGTGTGTGTGTTGGTTGTTGGGAGGGTTGGTTGGTGCTGTGGCAGGGCCTCTGACTTGGAAGTCAGACAAACCAGGGCTCCAGACCCTGGTTGTATCCTCTAAGCAATTTGGCTGCTAGAAGCCTCAGTTTCCCCATCTGTAAAATGGGTTTAGCAACGCCTGTCTTGGAGAAGTTACAAGATCCAAATAAGCCCATGTGAAATAACGGGTCTGACACATTCTAGAATCGCCATAAATACATGTTCTTTTTCCCACTTTTGTAGATGACAATTTTAAGCTGGTATTTCTGCAACCTTTTTTTATTACGAGATAGAAATACATTTCACATCTCAACCCAACACATACACACACCCTTTGTATATAAAATTAAAACTGATACTTTCTTTTTTGTCATATTCTTTTTTCTGTTTAAAATGCTGGTTGTGACCCACCACCTCCAAAGGGACAAGTGCTGTCCCGAGCTGCCTTTCTGTGGCCTGGCACAGCTGAGCTTGGATGGGCAAACTGTACACTAATCACGCATCCCTTCGGTAGCTCTTTCACCTCTACCTCCCAGGTTTCCTTCCCTCCTGGGCTGGCTCTGAGATACTGGCCAAGCCTCATGCTCCTGTCTGGGAGGGTTGGAGTCAGGCCCTGCTTCTCCAGAATCTGCAAGATGTTCCACCAAGACGCCTACCCAATGGGTTCCCTAAAGTTCCTGGAGAGCCCCACACAGGGAGGACTCCTCCTTGGGTGGGGAAGCAGGTCCCTTCCCCACCAAAGGTGACAACCCATCCCATGGGATGAAGCATTCGTAGCGGCCGATAGTGAAATCCTGGCCATCCTTTCTGAGTCTCAGCCCCAGGCAGCTTGCCAGGCTCCTGACACGTGTGAGCTCATTACTGTGGGCTTAGGTGTTGCAGAGGAGGAATGGAGTTTGCAGAGCTGCAGCTCTGGTAAAGGGCACCCAGCCCAATTGGCGGGTCTGTGTGCAGAGCCTAGCTCTCAAACACAGGCTCCAGTGACAGGGATGGCTAGTATCCCCCGGCAATTCCAATGTGCCAGGAACTGCTCACAGGGTTTTCCCTGTAGTAACAGTCAGTCTTCACCACAGACCTCATAGGTGACATTACTAACCCCACTTTACAGATGAGGAGACTGAGGCGTGGGAAAGTTATAAAACTTGTTCAGGGCCTCACAGCCAGGAGGTGGTGGGGCCAGAATTTAAACCCAAGGACCACGTCTAGGACCACCCTGCACGCTACCTCCCTCTGCCATAACTAGATCCCCCTTCTCCCTCATTAGGCCCTGGTGGGGTCTGCCCAGCCTCTCAATGCCCATAGTGAAATGTCCTGATTTCAACTCAACCACTACCCAGCTGTGTGACCCTGAGGAGTCACCTAGTCTCTGGTGTAAAAGGGGGGTGACTGGTGTCCTGTCACTGGATTCCCAGAGATGACTTGTGTCCAGCACTTTGCAACCTGTCAGCCTCCACTCAGACGTTCGGTGCTGAGCAGAGCTTCCAACTGAGGTACTCCTCACCTGAAGATCCAGGACCTGCCCAGGCACCAAGCGTTAACCCGGCAGCAAGAATTCTTGCGCTGTGGCAGCCTCCAGCCTATTAAAGTGCGGTGCAGAGTGCATTTGGGTGTGCATGTTGCTTTTAATTACAATTTTACAGCAAAATGGGAGTCAAATGGCTGCTGAACCCTGGAGGCTTCTCTGTGGGTTACCCCATATCACAGGTTTAAAACCTCTAAACCAGATGGACACTTTCTTTCCTTCCAAGATCCTTTTTTTGGAAAGTGGTGGCATGTAAATAAATGGATGCTCAGCCCAACCCTGCAAGTTATAGAAGCTCAGAGAGAGGAAGTGACCCACCCAGGGTCACACAGTGAGTGAATGGGTAGCAGACCTGGGGTTCACACTTGATCCCCGATTTGCAGCCCTGCTAGAATCTGTTTTCAAGCCACGAAGAGCACTGAATGGGACTAGGCTTACTGGAGGGTCTCCACTGAGGTTTGTGGTTGAACAGAGGTGAGACCCAGACAGAGGTGGGGCGGTTGTCCCCTCCCAGGCTGAAGACTGCTTTTGGACCCCTGGCAGCTTCCGCAAGTGGAAAAGCAGGACCATCTAGCTTACTCCGTCACAGGCTTCCTTGGTGGAAGAGGATGCCCACTGGGTGGGCACGGGGGTCTCCTGTGGTTCCAAGGATGTGATTACAGTATTTCCTCTCCATGTCCCTGGAGGCAAACCTTTCGCCAGAAAATAGTTACATAAGAAAAGTGTGCTTCTAGTTAAACAACAGGCTTTTGTTTCTTTTGTCTTTCAGCCCAGGGCTCCACTTCCTCTACAAGGTAAGTGTATCATTGGTCCAGATCCTCTTGAAGTTATTATTTGGTTGTTTCACAGCCCCCCAGACTATAAAGCATAATCCACGTCCACTGACCTCACCGATGTGTTGGTCAACATGTCTCTTTCTCTCCTCTGTAATCTCCTTGCACTGGGTCATGCTGTTTTTAATTATTGTCCCAAATGAGGGGTTTTATTTTGGTGCACAGAGGCGCTGATTTCTTGCCTGCTCTCCCCAGACAACGAGACCCTTGTCTAATTCCACGTGGACTGGGGCAGAGACCTCCCGGGCTTTCTGTCCTCACAGACATCCTGCACACGCCACCGGATGCATCCTCCCAGATCCAAGTTGTATACTTTACTCTTTCCTTTGTTTAGTAAATATTTATTGAGTACCTTGGCGTGCTGTGGCCCTGGAATGCTGGGATGAGTTGGATAGAATCTGTGCCCTCTGCAAGCTCACAGCCTGGTCAGAGGCTCAGGCGGTGACGTTACGTCACCGATGGCACTTCAGTTTGTTGATTCACATTTTTAGTGACTTGAGTCCCTACTGTGTGCCAGCCCTGCTTAGGACCAGCTGGTGATACAGCAGTAAACAAGAATCAGCCCAGGCTTTCATGGGGCTCAGACGCCGGCGAGAGAAACAGGCATAAACGCAGAAATAAAGTGATTCGTGGTGTCATATCAGGTGGCGACAACTCCTACCCTGCAAGGGGATGGAGGTGAATGGTGGGGGGCTGTCTTAGGCAGAGGAAGGGACTGCCTCTGAAAAGGGGATGCAAGCAGGTGCCTGAAACTAGTGAGCTACGATGGAGAGGAGCATGCTGGGCCAGAGAGGAGGCCTGTGTGCTAGGCCAGAGGGAAGGAGAGGAAGAAGATGAGGTCAGGAAGACGCAGGTCCTCGGCATCTTGTTGTCCTTCGCAGATGCCCCTGTAGCAAGAGCTATTATGAACCATTTTGTGAAAAGCCTTTATCGGCTTTTTGGAAGGCCTCTGATCTTCATCCCCAGCAGAGCAGAGGCAGCACACCGTAATCTGCCATGTGAACCTATCTGCATAGAACCATGTAGACATCCGTGCTAAGGGTGATAAATAAAGCTATAAATAGCTTTGTGTTGGTTCAGACCAGGTTTTGCCAGCAACTGCATAGTGCCAGTCTTTCGATTGTTTAGAGCTTTCTGGGTTCCAGAATTACAGAATAGGAAATGATGATCTGGAGTGGGGCCTGTGGGTGTTAGAAGGACTCGGGATTTTATCTCCAGTGGGATGAAGAACCACAGGATGGACATGATCTGACTTTTGTTTTAAAAGCGTCAACCTGGCTACATGTGGAGCCCATGCTACAGGAGGTGAGGGTGTGTAGGTGACCGTAGCGGTCCCGGTCCAGGCAGGAAAAGATGGTGAACTGGACCAAAGTGGTGGGATAGGCTGAGAAATGCTCAGATTCTAGATATATTTTGAAGGTAGACCCAAGAGGACTTGCTGATAGATTGACTGTAGGGTTAAGGACCACCTCAAGGTTGGGGGCAATAGAGTGCTGTATCCTGAGTTGGGGGGTGCAGGTGATGGGTGGAGTGATGGGGCAAATACCAGGCAAAGCAGTTGCATATAGCAGGAGCAGCTCTTCTGCCAGAGAAGGCTCTGGGAAGCATCGGGTGCCCTGCTCCTGCCCAGCAGTGTGAGTCCAAGGTACTCTTGGGATAAAGCCTTGCTTCTTGCTCTGATCTCCACAGGGGCCCTCCTGGTCTCAGCCCTGCCCAACCTTCTGGCCTTCTCCTCCCCCGAACAAGCAGAGCCACCTCTCCAGCAAAACTAGGCTCTTCACTGCCTTCCGGGCACGTGTGTTTTCCTATTGTCATGCTTGTGCCTGTCACACTCCCACACCTAGGACACTCTTCCAAGGGCAAGACTCGTTTCTGTCATTTGCCCAAAAAACCTTCAGTGGCTCTCCCTGTCCCTCCAGATAAAGTCCACATGCCTCCCTGAGGCTTCTGGGCCCCTTGTGGTCCAGTTGCCTTGAACAGTTTCACTTCCTTCTACCCCCTGTCCTCACATTTCACGGCTCAACCACACTGTGCTCCTCCCCTCCCCCACAGGCTGGGCCCTCACTCTCCTCCTCCCCCTTGCACACTGCCCTGTCTGCTGAGGTATGCTCCCTGCCCCTGCTCATGCACTACCCAGGGTCCCCCAGCTCCAGGGGTGGCAGGCACACTGGGCTCTGTGAATGGCACCCCCTGGAGTTACGCAATATGGTAGCTAGAGTGGGACCCCTCCTGTCACCTGGTCACCTCCTGTTCCTCCTGAGGTCAGCAAGGGCATGACATCCTCCAGAGATGGGGGGCTTCCTGTGAACCTTCCTGGTGCCCCAGCATGGACACCTGGTGTGTTCAAGGTGTCTCTGCACCTGTCCCATTTCATAACCCACTCCTTGAAGCCAGGACCCATGTCCCTAAGGTTCACTGCAAATAGCTGCTAAACTTGGCACCATGCCTGGAATGGGATAGGTGCTTAGTAAAGGTTTATTGAATGAACAAATGAACAAATGAATGAATGAATGAGTGAATGAATGAATGAGTGAATGAATGGATGAGTGAGTGAATGAATGAATGGGTGAATGAGTGAGTGGATGAATGAATGAGTGAATGAATGCCATCCTAAACCACTGTAGCACTTCCCACTCTGCCTTCTCTGAATCCCTAAAATACTGCTTCCTAGTGACTACACAGCCCCATCTAGAAGGATCTCTCTTTTTTGTTTTTGTTGTTATTATTATTTTATTTTATTTTTATTTTTTCTTTTTGAGACAGAGTTTTGCTCTTGTTGCCCAGGCTGGAGTGCAATGGTACAATCTCGGCTCACTGCAACCTCTGCTTCCTGGGTTCAGATGATTCTCCTGCCTCAGCCTCCTGAGTAGCTGGGATTATAGGCATGCACCACCACACCCAGCTAATTTTGTATTTTTAATAGAGACGGGATTTCTCCTTGTTGGTCAGACTGGTCTTGAACTCCCGACCTCAGGTGATCCACCCACCTCGGCCTTCCAAAGTGCTGGAATTACAGGCATGAGCCCCTGCGCCCCGCCCTGTTGTCATTATTTTTTACTTGTCTTACCTCCCTGATTAGACAATGAGTTTCTGGAAGAATAGGACATTGTCAATAATAATGGCATCATTAGCAGCTACCATTTATTGAGTACTTATTGTGCTCCTGGCACTGTCTATGCCTTTATGTATATTAGCCCAATTGTGACTTTAATTCTTGCAGAAACCCTATGATTTATCACTATCCCAATTTTATAGAACAGTGGTTTTCAAACTTGAGTGTGTTACGGAATCCCCAAAGACTTGTTAAAACACAGCTTACTGGGCCCTACCCTCAAGGTCCCTGATGGAGAATCTCTATTTCCACAAGTTCTCAGGTGGTGCTGATGCTGTTCCTCCCAAGCCACACTTTGAGAACCGCTGTTCTATCAGGTTCTTATTGTTCCCTATCCTATGGTTGAGGAAACTGAGGCCCAGAGAAGTCATGACATTCCCAAGGTCCTGAGGCTAGGAAGCACCAGAATGATGACTTCAGCCTTGACATCTCTTGCACGAAAGCTGGTGCCTTCATGACTGTTCCCATGCTTCTTGCTGTCTATTTCTTCTTCCCCAGAGAAACCAACCGTTTTCTGCCTGTTTTTTATTTTTCCAGCATGAGCCTACCAAGGGAGCCATGAGATCACTTGCTCCCTTTCATCTCTCTAAACCAAAGCAATAGCTAGTGAGTGCTAATGGTGGTTTCCCATGCCTCAGCCGGCTTCGGCTTTGGCTTGCTGGGATCAGACACTTTCCAGAGGACGTTGGTGTGAGTAACAGCCGAGCACCTCAGGGAGGCTGCAAGCCGGGAGGCTGCCACTTTGAGCTCAAAGGGTTCTTCAGGTTGCAGGGCTGGTGGAGGGATTGGCTCTCTCTAACTCCCTGGGTTAGGAATGTACAGACAGAACATTGTCTGTAATCTTCCCCAGCTCAGACGAGAGAAAAACGTGTCTCTCTGCTCCCTTAATTGGGCACTAGGGTTCATTCAATCAGCCATTTATTCACTTGTCAGACATTCACTGCATTTATTCTTGGAATATTTAGGGCTTCCCTGAGTCTTTCATTTATTCATCTGGACTGAGCCTAACTCAGTGCCAGGCCTTGAGCTGGGAGTTGCAAAGGGGAGGAGAAAAGGCCCACCCCTGGTCTCATGGCACTTAAGAGCCAGTGAGAAAGATTCATTCATTCATTCACTCACTCATTCATTCATTCATTCAACAAATACATATGGACTGCTAATGATGCGCCAGCCCAGTTCTTAGTGCTGGGGCTTCAGAAGTGAATGAGACTGGCCCGGTTCTTGGTGCTGGGGCTTCAGCAGTGAATGAGACTGGCCCAGTTCCTCCCTGTGTGAAACTGATGGTCCGCTGAGGAGACAGGTTACCAGACAAGCTGGAAAGTTAATAAAGGATGTGGTGCAGCTGCTGACTAAATACAATGAAGCCAGGTAAGGGACAGAGCAGATCAAGGAGGTAAGGTCTTGGGTGAGCAGGGAGGGCTTATCTGCAAGGTGACATTTAGAAGGATGAGGAGTCTCCAGCCATGGGAATATCTGGGACAAGACTACACCAATCAGAGGGAACAGCCAGTGCCAAGACCCTGAGACAGGAGCAGTCAGATGCATGCACAGAGCGCAGAGGAGGCCAGAGGAGCTGGAGCGGAGCAGAGGCAGGAGAGGGATGGAGCCTAGAGCAGTCAGCCGGGCTGAGCCTTGGAGCTGGTGTCACTTGACCACCTTGGAGTGGTTATAGAGGGCTTGAGCATTGTGAAGCAGAAAAGTAGCATGACATCACTTATGCATTTGAGATAGGGAGAATGGAGGGCAGGGAAGCAGGAATAGAGGTGGGGAGATCAAGGAGGAGGTTCTTCAGGAATCAGGGGAGTTAGGATGGTGGAGAGGATGGGGTGGCTGGCTTTGATGGATAATTTGGAGGTGGAGCCGACCAGCCCTAGGTTGGATTAGACGAGAGCTGTAAAGGAAGAGAAGAATCAGGGCTGACTCCTACTTCTCCAGCCTGAGCACAAGATGAGCAATGGTAGAGCTATTCACTGAAATAGGAAAATCCAGGGGAGAGACAAATATGGGGAAATGGGTAATTGGTTGTAGTCTGAAATTGCTTTGAAAGAGAAGAACACAGTGTTTTGAGAATGGAGTTTGGGGGTTCAGTTAAGATTTCTCCAAGACGAGACTGTTTAAAATAGCATCTGAAGGAAGAAAAGGATTGAAGCAGATGAAGAGGCAGCAGCCCAAAGCATGCAAAGGCCCTGGGGCAGCCTGACTGGCATTCATTCCAAGTCACTGTTTTTGAGCACATGTGGTGAGGAAGCATGGCAGGCAGGCAGACAGCAATAGAAACCAGATATGCAGATAGACAGGAGATCTGAGATTGTCACGGAGGGGCAGCCCAGCCAGCCCAGCACCGTCGGCAGAGCCATCACAAGGTGACACCATAGTTGAGTCTTGAAGGAGACACGAAAGTTAGCCAAGAAGAAAAATGATCAAGGGGGTCCTTCATGCTGCTATTGAAGCATGAAGTACATAACATCAAATGTACCCCCCCGAAATATTTGGTGGGTAGATGAGTGGGTACATGAGGACAGGGCAGTGAATTAGCCTGGAGGCAGCACGCCAGGCCACGTGGGACACGGAGCAGGGCGATGAGTTGGACTTGAACCAGCCAGCCAGTGGGGAGCTCCAGGAAGGCTGGAGGCCAGTAGGGTGGGGACAGATCTGTGTGATCTTCCCCAGCGGACGTGGCCCTGCTCCTGGAGGGTTCTTTCTGTGGCCACGTGGGGCTTGTCATGTCTCAGAACTGCTTTCGGAGCCAAGCACTCATGCCAAATCCATTAATAACCCTGCTGCCAAGCCCCACTGCTCATTTCTGACATTATCCATGCTAACATCCCCGGGGTTGCCGGCTTGAGAATTTACACAACTTCTGCCAAGCCAGTGGCTCTGATATGCTCATCACCTTGACTGTGACCCTCCAGTGAGTCAAGCCGTGGCCTCCAATTACAGAAGCAAGTGCACGAACAACTTCTTTGATTAACTTGGACATCTTGGTCTTTTTCTTTTCTTTCTTTAATGATGATACATAGATGTTTATAATAGAGAACATTTGGAGAATATGGGAAACTAAAAAGGAGAAAAAAAATACCATGCAAAGACCACTGCAGTTTGCATTTTGCTATGTTTCCTTCCAGTGTTATCCACACATTTTTCATAATTGAGATAATCCCACAGAGAATTTTCCTTTTTCACTTATCATTTTAATGTAAGCATTTGTAACTTAAAAAAAAAACCTCCTCATAAACCTTTTAAATCTTTATCTGTGGATTTATCCTAATTTCCCTAACCAGTCCCAATTGGCAGAACCCTAAGATATAAACCTCCCCCATCCCGCCCTTGACAAATGCCTTTGTGTTGAAAGCTTTTTCTATATTTTGAATTCCCCCAAAAAAAGTGCAATTATGAGTCAAAAGGATGAGGACATCTTCCAAGCTCTTGATTTTGCCAGCTGCTTCCCAAAAGGATTGTACTGGTTTGCCTCTCCCACCAGCGACGTATGCAAGCTCCAGTTCATTTCACCATAGCTTCCCCAACACCAAGTATTATAATTTTTAAAGATCCTTGCCAATAGAGTAGGTTAAAAAAAAAATGATAGTGCATTGTGTACAATTCCTTTTTAGTGAGATTGACCCCTTTGTCCAAACATTTGATGTGCAGTTGTGTTTCTATTATGAGTCCTTCATCCATGTCCTCAACCCATATAGAAAGTGGAGCCTAAATGTTATTCTTATCAATTTGCATGAGCACTTTAGATAGTGAGGGTATTTTTATCTGTGTGTCTCTTTCCTTTTTAGGTTGCATGAGCCTGAGAAGAATGCCAGAGAAATAACCCAGGTACAATCCTTGGTGAGATGCCCTTCCTGGGAAACTCCATGGCGTGGTTGCTTCACATCAACCGGAATTGCAGATCTGGTTCTAAATTAAGACTCCCTGTGGGGTGCAGGGTGGAGGATCTTACATTCCTAGCTTTCCCCATGTCCTGTGCATATTCCTTCTCTCTGCTGCAGCCAACAGTGGCTGTTGCAGCCTCCTGACTCAGTGCTACCCATTGCACAACTCCCCAGGGGCACCATTCACAATCCGTCCTATAAAATGGTGCCCTGGAGTCAGGCTGCAGCTCCCTTAGTGTGGATTGTGCCTTCCCACCTCTGTGCATTTGCCCAGACCCATCCCTCTACCAGGAGCGCCACTCCCAGCTCACTGCCCACTCCTCCTCACAGCCAGGCTTTTCTATGCTGTAACTGCACAGCCAGCCTGCCAGGGCCTCTCCCGCCTTTGCTGATGGAAAGACCCCATGTCATTAATTACCTCACACAAGGGCACACTCGCTCAAGCTGGAGGTTTCTGGTCAACATTGCTGAGATGATTTTGCAGGCAACGTCGTTTCTGAGAAACCTAGCCCTGCTTATCACCGGCTGACGCTGTCAGACCTTGAAGGCAGAGGGCTCCTCAGCATCTTGTAACAAGACAGGTCCTGCTCTGAACCCGGAACGAGAGTGCGCCAGCTGTCCTTGACATTTCCAAGGCAGTTGTCATCTTTTTAGATGTAATCTGTTGTCGGGCTGGTGAAAGGCACAGCATTTGTAGACCAAAATGCCTTGGCCCTGCCCTTGTGACCCATGGGGTACCCCGGCAGCCCCGGACATGAGCTCAGGTAGTAATTAGGAAAAACAAAACCGTTTCCAGTCATGAGAGAGGGAGACCTTCTCCCATGTCATTCTACTTCTGGACTTCCTCCTGGAATCTTGTGGGGGAAAAAAATGATGGTGGAAAAACGGGTCATGGACACCTGCACGAAATTCACATCAGCAGAGACTTACCGGGCACCCACTATGTGCCACGCACTGGACAGCCAGACAGTCACGGCCCAGCTGGCAGAGTGCCTGCGATTCCAGTGCCAGGCGCTAGCCCTGGCCAGGGAGGGAGTTGCATGCTATCAACGTGGATTTCCCAGACAGAAGTAAATGAGAGCACGCAGGGCTCAGGACAGGAGCTGTGTGCTAAGAGCACAGCAGCAGAGTCCAACACACTTTGGTTCTTTGCCAGCTGGACAACTTTGTCCACTTTATTTAACCTCCCTTGGTCTCAGTGTCTTCAGCTGTAAAGTGGAATAGATAATCCTTCCCAAGTAGGTTGTGGTAAGAGTGGATGGGTGATCTGTGTGGTTGTGTGCTGCTTGTAAGCCCTGAGAACTGAAATGGGCCATTACCGTGCACCAGCTAGGAGGTGTGCCGGTTGGCGGTAGCTTTATTCTGTTCTATCACGCAGGGGCCAGTCACAGAGGAAGCAAAGTTTATCATTCATGATGGGCGATTTTGAGGTGGCAGTGGCAGGTTGATAGGATTAGCACATGGGAGGTATCCAGGTTTGCTAAGTGGTTAATGATTGCGAACATTTATTGAAGATAGATGCTCAATATGTACCAGGCTCTTTTCTAAACGCTTTACCTGGATAATCTCATTCCATTCTCACAGCAACCCTGGCAGTAGACACTATTATCATCCCCTCTTTACAGATGGAGAAACTGAGACCCAGAGAAGTTAAGTGAGTTGCTCAAAATCCCTGAGCTAGAACCAGGATTCAAACCCACACTTTCTGACTCCAGAATGTTTCCCGCTTTGCTAACTGGCGATCTCATTCTTATACTGCCCCTGTTCTCTGTCTCCCTGTCTCCAGCTTTGCCCTGAGTGAAGCTGAAATTATTGCCATCCTATTTATTCAGTATGAATCAGACTTCTTCTGTGCCAGCCTTGGTTTCTGAATCCTAACAAATGTCCAGTGAATATTTGTGGAATAAATGCGTACATGAATGAATGTCCCCACACACATCACCATCAGCACCTACTCAGGCCCCCAAACAGACACGGTCCTGGGTGGTGGGTCCTGTGATGGAAAACAAACATGGGCTGAGGAAGCACAAAGAAGGAACCTGGACCCTGCCAGGAGAGGGGAGGGCCAGGAAGGGTCTTAGGATGAGCCGTGCTTCATCTGAAATTTACAGGGTGGATTGGGATTTGTTACAAGGAGAAGCAGGACAGACACCCTTGGCAGAGGGAGGAACATGAGAAATGGGCAAAGACTGCAGGTGGTTCAGGCTGGGAGGAGGCAGGAGCGGGAGGAGGTGACACTGAGGCGGGGCTGTGAGGGAACCACACTGTGTGGGTCAGAAAGACCCTTCAGGCAGGGTGAGGAGGAGGGTGGATGGGAAGGGGCAAGGCTGGAGGCAAGTAACGTTGGCAAGAGATGAGGGGAACAGGACTTACGGCTGAGCCAGTGTGGGCCGAGAGGACACAGAAGCATCCAGACTTGGTATTTAGTTTGAGTGAGTGGGCCAGGGCCTCTAGAATGACCTTCTCATGACTTTCTCTTTGGGTATTTTAAATCCAGGACACAAATGATATCACATATGCAGACCTGAACCTGCCCAAGGGGAAGAAGCCCGCTCCCCGGGCCGCGGAGCCCAACAACCACACAGAGTATGCCAGCATTCAGACCAGCCCGCAGCCCGCATCGGAGGACACCCTCACCTACGCTGACCTGGACATGGTCCACCTCAACCGAACCCCCAAGCAGCCGGCCCCCAAGCCCGAGCCATCCTTCTCAGAGTATGCCAGCGTCCAGGTCCCGAGGAAGTGAATGGGACCGTGGTTTGCTCTAGCACCCATCTCCACGTGCTTTCTTGTCCCACAGGGAGCCGCCGTGATGAGCACAGCCAACCCAGTTCCCAGAGGGCTGGGGCGGTGCAGGCTCTGGGACCCAGGGGCCAGGGTGGCTCTTCTCTCCCCACCCCTCCTTGGCTCTCCAGCACTTCCTGGGCAGCCACGGCCCCCTCCCCCCACATTGCCACACACCTGGAGGCTGATGGTGCCAAACCAGCCAGGGAACCGACCTGGGAAGTGGCCAGAACTGCCTGGGGTCCAAGAACTCTTGTGCCTCCGTCCATCACCACGTGGGTCTCGAAGACCCTTGACTGCCTCCCCGATGCTCCGAAGCCTGAGCTTCCAGGGTGGCCCCCTGACCACCACCACCACCACCCCCACCCAACTGGGGCTTAACGGGGGAAGATTTCCCCTTTAGATCAAACTGCCCCTTCCATGGAAAAGCTGGAAAAAAATCTCTGGAACCCATATCCAGACTTGGTGAGGTTGCTGCCAACAGTCCTGGCCTCCCCCATCCCTAGGCTAAAGAGCCATGAGTCCTGGAGGAGGAGAGGACCCCTCCCAAAGGACTGGAGACAAAACCCTCCGCTTCCTTGGGTCTCTCCAAGACTCCCTGGGGCCCAACTGCGTTGCTCCACCCAGACCCATCTCTCCCTTCTAGACCTGAGCTTGCCCCTCCAGCTAGCACTAAGCAACATCTCGCTGTGGACGCCTGTAAATTACTGAGAAATGTGAAACGTGCAATCTTGAAACTGAGGTGTTAGAAAACTTGATCTGTGGTGTTTTGTTTTGTTTTTTTCTTAAAACAACAGCAACGTGATCTTGGCTCTCTGTCATGTGTTGAAGTCCATGGTTGGGTCTTGTGAAGTCTGAGGTTTAACAGTTTGTTGTCCTGGAGGGATTTTCTTACAGCAAAGACTGAGTTCCTCCAAGTCCCAGAACCCTAAGAACGGGCAAGAAGGATCAGGTCAGCTGCTCCCTGGAGACACTTAGCCTTCTGACTGGGACTGACTTGGCCAAGTTCTCAGCCAAGCCACGCGGCTGGTACTGCAGCCTTCTGTGACCCCGCCGTGGTAAGTCCAGCCTGCTGAGGGCTGCCTCTTGACAGTGCAGTCTTGTCGAGACCTAACGCCTCAGTCTGCTCATCCGTAAAGTGGGGATAGTGAGGATGACACCCCTCCCCACCACCTCTCATAAGCACTTTAGGAACACATAGTAAAGGGTAGGGAGAGTGGCCCTGGCCGTCTGTCCTACCCCTTTAGTGTCCACCCCCATCCCGGCTTTCCAAGCTGATCCTTGAAGAAGAAATCTTCCATTTCTGTGCTCAAACCCTACTGGGATCAAACTGGAATAAATTGAAGACAGCCAGGGGGGTGGTACAGCTGTGAAGCTCGGGCTGATTCCCACTCTGTCCCAGAAGGTTGGCCAGAGGGGTGACCCAGTATTCAGTCTTCACTATAACTCTTAAGAGTTGAGACGCTAATGTTCATGACTCCTGGCCTTGGGATGCCCAAGGGATTTCTGGCTCAGGCTGTAAAAGTGAGAAGCTGAGCCATCCTGCCCATTCCTGAAGGTCCTACAGGTGGAACTGCAGGAGCTCAGCACAGACCCAGCTCTCTGGGGCCTGGTCACCTGGTGATTTCAATGATGGCATCCAGGAATTAGCTGAGCCAATAGACCATGTGGACAGCTTTGGCCAGAGCTCCCGTGTGGCATCTGGGAGCCACGGTGGCCCAGCCACCTGGCTCGGGCTAGTTCCAAATTCCAAAAGATTGGCTTGTAAACCTTCATCTCCCTCTCTTCTACCCAGAGATAGCACATACGTGTGCACATGCATGCACACACACACATTCAGTATTTTAAAAGAATGTTTTCTTGGTGCCATTTTCATTTTATTTTATTTTAATTCTTGGAGGGGGAAATAAGGGAATAAGGCCAAGGAAGATGTATAGCTTTAGCTTTAGCCTGGCAACCTGGAGATTCCACATACCTTGTGTATTGAACCCCAGGAAAAGGAAGAGGTCGAACTGACCCTGCGGAAGGAGCATGGTTTCAGGAGTTTATTTTAAGACTGCTGGGAAGGAAACAGGCCCCATTTTGTATATAGTTGCAACTTAAACTTTTTGGCTTGCAAAATATTTTTGTAATAAAGATTTCTGGGTAATAATGAGTCCTTCCGGTGTTCAGTATTCTTGTCTTTGTGAGCGTGTCCCGGGACCGCGTCAGGGGCTGCCCGCCCTCCTGCCAAGGCCTGGAAGAGGATTGAATGGACCCCAGGGTTTGGAAACAACCTACAGCATTTGAGCTTCTCACTTAGGTTTTAGAGACATACGATTTTGGTTTCCCCTGGCTCAGAAGGAGCCAGTGTAAGGTTGAGATAAAATTCCATACAGACAACTGAGTTTGGATCTCGGCTCTGCTGCTTTGTAGCTGTGGGAATTCAAACAGCACCTCTTTGAGACTTGGGCCCCACGTCTGCACAGTGGGGCAGGAAGAGTCCCTGCCAGGGTGACTGTGCGGATTCAAGGAGGCTGGGAGCACTGAGCCCATGCTTGGCACTGGGCAGGCCATCACTGAGGCTTGTGTCTTTCCTTCCTGCCCTGACCCTGCATAGCTGAGTCTCGTGGCCTCTTACACTGATGGGATCTTGGACACCTGGCTCCCCCTCCTGGGGCCTCACTTTCCTTCCCCACCAAATGCAGAAATCTAATGCTTGTCTTGTAATATCCTTGCCAGATGACTGATGTCAAGTGCTGGTTTATAGTGGGTGCTCAATAAATGTTAGTTTCCTTTCTCTCCCTCCATTAGATCATTAATGATATTAGTGCTAATTATGTAATAAAGTTAAGGCATAAATATGTTAATATTTAGTGGTTACTATGTGTCAACACTTTGATGAATTCTTAAACCTTGTGACTCAAGGGCAATCATGTTACTGATTCTATTTTATAGATGACACAGAGAGGGGGTGTAACTTATACAAGGTCACAGAGCTAATGAGCGATGTTACTGAGCCTCCAATTCCAACTGGATGACTGCAGTGCCTGATGCTTAGCCACTGGGTTAATAATCAGTACATCATGTATTGAGCACTGACTGCAAAATTAACCACTATGATAGCTAATAACAACTATGACAAGTGTGGTGCCAAGTGCTTCACAGCTATAACCCATTTCATTCTCCCAACTACCACATGAGGGAGGAACTCTTGTTCTCTGTGCTTTACAGATGAGGAAACTAAGACACGGAGAAGTCATTTCTCCAATGTCCTATGGCAGAGCAGTTTGAAGCCAGGGAATCTGACTCTTCCCCACACTGTACTTACTGCCTCATTTAATTCTCATGACTATCAGATCGCTCTGGTTGTGCCCATTTTGCAAAGAACGAAAGATAAGGTTCTGGCAGTGCATGTGACATGACCAGTCTCACGCAATGAGTCTTTAGTCAAGTTGAGACTTGAACTCAGATCCACAAGCCCACTGGGGATCATCTCTACACCCTTGGCCTGGTCCATGTGATCAGAGACCACCTGAAACAAGGAGCTGCCTGCAGGGCTCAGAGAGGTCACCCTTCTCTCAGGCCAGGACTTTGGCTGTAACAGACAGCTCAGCAGTTTCCTGGCCTGTGGCCTGAGTTCAGCTTTCCACCTCCCTCTGGGAGCAACCCATGAAATATGTGCACTGCTTGCAGGAATGGGGTGTTCAAGGCATGAATCCAGGCCGAGTGGGTGGGGAAATGCCTTCCATTCTCAGGGAAGGTGGGGGATGATGGACTGCGTGTCCGGGCAAGGAGACTTGGGGGGTGTATTTTAGGCAGCACCTGGGCCTTGCTTCTTCACAGCCAAATCTCCAGGGCTGGAGGTTGGCAAGCAAAATGAAAGTTGATGGTAGCTAAGTGGCCCTTGTCCAGCCCGCCAGGAAATCAGTCAACGTTTGGCATTTATCAGGCACCTCCTTGGGGTTCCTCCTGGTGCAAAGGAGAATGTTAAGACTCCCTTCCTCCATGAGGACCAGGCCAGAGTCCTCTGCCTTCCGCCTGAAGCCTCTGCCCATTTTACGTGATAATCAGGAAAATCTCCACCGACCCCCAACCCCAAGATTCGAATGCCCAACTGTAAAAACCCATGCGTCTTCTAGCACATTTCCAACAGCCAAGTTTTGATGAAAGTTTATTGAATTTTGGCATAAGCACATACTACATATTAGACACTCTCCTAAACTCTGGGCAGGTATTTATTAAAATTAATTCACTTTATTCTCTTGACACACCTATGAGTTAAGTACTATGATTATCCCCCATTTAAGAAAGAAATGGAAACACAGAGATTAAGCATTTTGCTCCAAGGTCACCATCCAGGAAGCGACGTCACTGTGGGTATGGTCCAGTCCAGCACTGAATGGGCATATAATGGGGATTGGGGCTGCTGGAGAGAAAGTGGGGAGCATAGATAATGTTCAGGATACACTGGACACTGTCAGTAGCCAGAAAACACCACATCATCTCACCACCAAAGTGTTAGAACGTCAGGGTGGTATGGCTACCTGCCTGCTCACCAGCCAGCCAAGGCACCTTTGAACCTGCCACTGCTGGGATCCCCGACACCACCCGCTTCACCACCCTCTTCACTGTGCCTGACCAGGTTCTTGGTTTCTTTTCTGAATACAAGATCATGACATTGAAGATGCTTTTTAAGAAGACGTGCTCCTGATGTTCAAAAACAGGCAAAACCTTGGCAACAGAGATCAGAAGAGTGGCTGCCCTTGGAGGGAGGACAAGGAGAAGCCTGGGGTGGCACATGCTCTACATCTTCCTGAGTCATGGTTATCTGGGGGTTGCATAAGTAAAAACTCTCCCAGCTGCACATTTAAGATGGGTGCATTTCCCTGTATATAAGTTATACCTTGAACTTTTTAAAAGATGGATGCCCCTGCCCTGCCCCCCTCAACCTTTGATGCCTGCCCCAATCTGTTTTTCAAAGTTAGTGTCAACACCTTATCTTTGGTCCCTGAACCCAGCCCAGGGCCTGGCCCCAGTGAGAGGCCCAAGGAGTGTCGCTGAGTTCATTTGAAAGATGAACATCCCTGTGATCAAAATAGCACACAAAACAGTGAAAGAAAAGATGTCAAACAGCACAAAGATTAAGGATGCCTACAAGGATAAGCCATTATCTGTCATCACTTCATCTCCTGAAATTCCCTCCATCACTTTTCCTCCTCCTCCACTCATGGGAATTGGATACAACCTCACCCCGGAGTCCTTGCCCTGTGACCTTGGGCAAACAGATTCACCACTGAGCCTCTGCTTTGTCATCTGTGAAACAGGGATAGTAGCAGCCTTCACCTCCTAGGGTTCTGGCGAGGGTTCCATGAGAAAGTAGATTTAAGACTCTTTGCAGCAGTGTGGTGCAGACAGCAGTCGACATATGCACACAAACACACGCTCACATTCACACTCACGTTGACACCCACACACTCACATGTCAGGCCAGGTTATTACAGCAGCTCTGCAATGGTGGGTCTTCTCTTCTGACAAATAATTTTATCAAGTCCCTCTCTTTCTCATTAGCCTGAGATAGGTCTCTCTTACCAACCTTTGGAGGATGGGGTCCAACACCCCAGCTTGGGTTTTGGAGTCCTCTGCCTTACGCCACCACCTGACCTGTTCAAGAACATTTCCTGCTCCTCCCCAGCCCCTACTGGACTCCCTGGCCAGGCTGATCTTCCTCTCCCGAGAAATACTAGATAGCAACTCCTTTGACTTCCCTAACCCCAACATGAGTCATTCCTCCAGTGACTTGGTGTCCTCTCGACCAGACATGAGCTCTGAAACCAGAACTTCACATTCTACCTTTGGGATTCAGCCCCTAGGATAAGGGAGACTAAAGCCCACCGTGTGCCACACTGGACTCTGGACACTCGAATTCTTTATTTCATGGAAACTTCACATTCTTTACAAATGGAATGTCAATTTCACAGAGAAGAAAATTGAGGCTCAGAGAGGTGGAGAGTGAATAAGTTCAAGATCTTTCAACCAGTAATTATTTCTCAAGCTCCTATTGGAACCTGGCCCTGTGCAAAATTCTGAGGACACAATGTTGACCAAAAATGGACCACACCCATATGAGCTCATATATGAGGGAGCCCGAGCCACTGGCAATCCCAGTGCCGGGATGAGTGCTGCTGAGAAGGGCGTGACAAACATGACATACAAGTGCAGAATTAACACACTAATGAGTGAGCCAGCAGGGGGGCAAGAGCTGGTTCCAAGAGTAAATGGGCATTTAGAGGCTTTGAAAAAGGAAGGTGAGAATAACATTTTCAAGTTAGAGATCAATCTGGTTAATGTTCTACAAGGCAACAAGGCCATATCTTTGGAGCTATTTTTTTCTGCCAGACAGAAGCCGTTTGCACCCCCGCCAGACAGAAGTCTGCAAATTAGCCCCAATCTGGGCCTTAATCAAATACGAAAGACAAACTCAGGTATATTCTTCTACAGAACTAACTAATCCTTCAGTGGGGCTTTTAAACCATGCCCCAGTATGGCAACAAAATGAAGCACTGTCTTGTTTTGCCTTATTTCCAAATTTGGGATACTCTGTCTTATTAAAGGAAAGTATACTGGCTTCATTCAGCCTGCACAGGGCAGAAAAGACTTCTTGAAGAGGAAATCCCTGAACTGAGATCTAAAAAATAAGTAAGAAGCCAGATCAGTGCAAAGGAGCCAGTGCAAAGGAGTTCCAAGGAGCCAGCGCCTGGCAGAGACCAGCCTTCCCTGTGTGCACTGGCCCCTACTGAGCTCTCCAGCCCGATTCACACCACTCTCTCCATCACTCCCTGCACTGGCAACACCAGCCTCCTGCCAGTTTCTAAAATGAACCACGGGACCCCTGCATGAGCTACTCCCTCTGCCTACAACACTCCCTGGATCTTTCCTGCTGGTCCTCCAATCCAGAGGCTGGGCTAAGTTCCCTTGTCAAACACTTCCATAGTAACCATGTCCAGCACTTCTTTGTAGCCCTCATCACGATTTGTAACTATAAATTGGTCCTGTGATTATGTGATTAATATCCCTCTCCTCTACTGCCGTAGTTGCTGCACTCATCAATGTAACTCTTATGCTAAGCCCATAGGAGGCACCCAACAAATATTAGAGGAACGGGAGGATGTATGGAGTGATGAGAAGAAGGAGGACGAGAGGATAGATGGATGGGAAGGAGGGAGGTTGAATGGGTGGCTGGATTGATGCAGGAGGGCATGGATGGGTGGATGGGTGGGAAGGAAGAAAGGAAGGCGGAGAGGGAGGGAGGGAAGAGAGCAAAAGGGGAGAAAGAAGAGCATAAAAGTTGGAGTCTGCTTGGCATCTTAGGAGAACTGAGAGTCCCTGGCTGGCAGGTTTGGAACTAGAAGCAAACCTCAGTACATCTGACTTTTCCCACTGAGTTTCTCTGCCTTTCATCATGATCCTGGGTTCAGGGCAATCACCTTTTTAAAAAAATGACGCACGATCCCCAACAGGCAAGAAGCCAATGACCCTTGTCTGAGCCTTTGGTTCCTCTTCTAGAGAAACTGGGGCTATACTTAGAAAACAGGATAAAAGATTGCAAAAAATCTGTCTACTCTCAAATTGCACAACCCTAGTGTGGCTGGTCAGTGGCTCAACTTTGGGAGCTGGCAGGGCTCAGCCTCTCAACAGACTTGTCCTCCTGGCTCTGCTTCAGTGACAACAGGCCAAGCCCTCATGGTAGAAGGTGCCGTTTCTACCAACCTGGGCCTTCTGCCCCCGCAGGCCCTCTCCGAGCAAGGTCAGATGGTGCGGCAGCCGGTCGCATGGATCTGGGCCACAGACCTGTCTCTAGAATGAGGTCGGGTGAGAGTTTAATGGCAAGAAGGCTACAGCCTGACTAAGGCTGTGGGCTCGATTCTGCCATGGCTCCCCCCATGCCAGTAAATGGACCCTGTGCACATGCAGATTAATGCATTATCACTAATGTTTTGTGCCAGATGCAAAGGCACTTGGGCAGCCAGGCCGAGAGCTGCCATTACCACAGGACCTTTTGCTGGAAAATTTTTCTTGGGGCAATTAAATCTTCAGCTGTCTCCTCCAAGGGAGTGCCAGCTTGCATTTTAATTATCCTCAAAAGAGGGAAGTAGGGGAAAGGACACGAGGCAAAGAATGAAAAAATAACAACCTGCTTTATAAACTCAGTGGTTTCTCCCCCATCCACTCCACAGTGCCCTTGACCTTTAGACTCCTGCCTCCCAATACCCTTGGAAGGACCCCTTTAAGGGGAAGAAGGGAGAGGAGGTAGGAAACAGCATTTCTTGAGTGTGGAATAAGTGTTAGTGCACTGCATTATGCCTGGTTAATTTTTTATTTATTTATTTATTATTATTATTATTATTTTTGTAGAGACAAGGTTTTCCTATGTTGCCCAGACTGGTTTCAAACTCCTGGGCTCAAGTGATCTTCCTGCCTCAGCCGCCAAGTAGCTGGGACTACAGATGCATGCCAACAAGTCCAGCTAATTCTTTTTAAAAAAATTTTGTAGAGACGGAGTCTCCCTATGTTGCCCAGTCTAGTCTTGAATTCCTGGGCTCAAGTGATCCTCCTGCCTCCATCTCCCAAAGTGCTGGGATTAGAGGCGTGAACCACCATTCCCAGCCTCATGGAAAGTTCGAGAACCGGCAAAACTCATCTCTCAGGTGCTGGTGAAAGGGAAGCAATTGACTAAAAGGGACAAATGGAACTTTTGGGGAACTGGAAATGCTTATCTTGATTGAGGTGGTGCTTACATGGGTGTATATATCAGTCACAACTCATCAAACTGTATACTTACAAATGAGTACGTTTTATTGTTTGTAAGTTAATACTTTAATAAAGTTGATATTAAAATAAATAATAATCAAATAATACGTGTTAATATTTATCTAGACCTTACTATGTGCCGTCCTAGTTGTGCTTCCTATGTGTTAAGCCCTTTATCCCTCACTCCAATCTGTGACATAGACACTGAGTGCCCCATTGCCCAGATGAGGACATTGAAACACAGAGAAGTTTGGCAACTTTCTAAAGTGACGCAGTTAGTAAGAGGCAGGGCCTGGGTTCAAATGGAGGCAGATTTTGAGCCTATAGCTGAACAGCGAAGTCCAAGATTCCCAACTGGTTATTACTAGAGGCAGGATTAAATCCAGGTGCCTTTCCAACGTGATGTAACTGGTGGAAGAGGAAAATGCATTCATTCACTGGGGAAATATTTACTCAGCCTCTACTGCAGGTCGAACTGTAGACACAGAGAGCAACCTACAAATCCCAGGCCCTTGTCGGGTAGGAAAGGGATCATGAAATAATCAGAAAAATAAATGCGAAATGCGGCCAGCGATGAAAGCTCAGAAAGCGAGTTTACTCCGGACCGAAATGCGCGATACTAACCGGGAGTGTGAGGAAGCCACGCCCTCCTCACGTATTTGTGCCCAAATGAGCTGCCTCCCCAGCGTGCACCAAATTCCTGAGCCACCTGCTCCGAGCTCGATTTCCCTTTCAAGCTGTGTGTTCTGCGGGGGCACGGCGAGTTGCAAGGGCTCATCTTTCAGGACAGGCTGCAAAGGTCCTTTGAAGTCATCCGCCCTGCTCTTGGCACCTTGCGCCTGGAGCTGAGCGCTTCCAAAAATGACCCCTGCGCATTCCGCTGGTGCAGTAGTGCAGCCCATACAGTCGCGGTCCAGAGCAGGGGAGGCAGCAGGGCGTGCGACAGCTGGGAGAGCCGAGGCCCTGAGGGAGGACTCTGCCTCCAGCCAAGCAACCAGGCCCTGAGGCCCTCTCCCCACCTCTCTGTGGCCCTGGCTCAAGGAACCGGGACGGGGCTTTCAGGCCTTGAAGGGCAGACCTGCTCCACCAAACATTCCCATCGTTGGCAGATGGAGGGCCCCGAGCTGGGCGCTGTGGGTATGTTATCCAATTTACTTCTCTCGGTGGCCCTGCACCATCGCCTCTGGTTCCCAGGTGAGCACAGAGAAGCAGATGACTTGCCCAAGATCGCACAGTACTGCAGGAATAGAACTAGCGTCTGGGCCTCTCCCCTAATATCCCACGGCCTCCAGAATCTCACCTCAGCCCCTTTCCATCCCCTGAAATAAACACTCTACACCACTTAGTGAATGTTCTTTCGGAAGTCAGAGCCTATAAATTCATTTCCTGGCTCCTCCATTTCCTGGCTGTGTGACCTTAAGCAAGTTTCTTAACCTCTCTGTGTCAGTGTCCTCCTCTGTAGAACGGTGCCAAAAACTGTACCTATCCCAGAAGGTTGCTGTGAAGACCAAATGAGACAAGACAATAAATGTAAAAGTGGTTAAAACTGTGCCCAGATGATAGTGAGCCCTCAGAAACTCATCACTATTCTAATTCCATAGACTTGATTAATTTCTGGGTTTTCATAAGTGAATTTACATCCATACATTTAAGGCACCTTTCCAAGTAAGACATACAGGTCTACCTCATTCTTTCAAGCAGCTTCATAACATTCTTATATTCATTCATTCATTCATTCATTCATTCACTCATTCACCAAACGTGTAGAGCGGGCAGCTCCTGTACACCAGGCAAGGGCACACAACACACTCAGTCCTTGCTCTGAGTTCTCGTGGGAGGGATAATTGACAAATGCATGAATAAATACTTGAGAGCATTTCACCTAACACTGAGTGCTATGAAGAAAATAAGATGGGGCCAGGCACTGTGGCTCATGCCTGCAATCCGAGCACTTTGGGATCCCGAGGCAGGCAGATCATTTGAGGCCAGGCATTCAAGACCAGCCTAGGGTTTTAGTAGAGAAAATCCGTCTCTACTAAAAATACAAAAAAAAAAAAAAAAAAAAAAAAAGCTGGATGTGGTGGTGCATGCCTGTAATCCCAGCTACTCCGGAGGCTGAGGCACAAGGATTGTTTAAACCTGGGAGGCAGTTTGCAGTGAGCCGAGATCTCACCACCGCACTCCAGCCTGGGTGACAGAGTGAGACTCTGTCTCAAAAAAAAAAAAGGAAAAAGAAAAGATGGACAAAGTGTTAGAGAGACACTGGTTGGGAGAGGGAAAACAATTTACAGACAGTGTGTGAAGTCCCCAGGGATATGTCATTTTACTGCCACCGGAAGGAAGAGAAGGAAGGAGCATGGAGCAGTCCAGGCAGAGGAAGCAGCCAGGGCAAAGGCTAGGAGGCTGGACTAAGCTCAAGTGTGATTCAACTGGAAGTAGAGAATGAGCATTTTTGAAACCAGGTTGGAGAGTCAGGCCAGGGCCCAATGAGACAGTGCCTGTGGATTTTATCCTGAGAGACGTGTGAAGTCCCTGAACCCGGGGGTCCTGCAGCTGTGTAGGAATGGATTGGAGAGGCATCAATGGAGGAACCAGGAAATTTGTCAGGCTATTTGTCAGGATTCAGAGGCACTGGCAAAAGGCAATGGTGGCAGGGACTAGGATGCAGCCTCCAGCCTGGAACTTGCCTCAGTGGCAGAGCCCACAGGACCAGCTGATGGGGAAGACAGAGTTGAAGGAAAAGAAGAAACAAGTTGCCACTGACAGGCATCACCATAATAATTTAATTAACGAATTCCCTATTGATGGAGAGCTGGACTGTTTCTATTTTTTCCCTACTTGCAACAATTTTGTCTTAAACATTATTGCATAGATATCCCCAGATGTGAGATGCTTGGATCGAAGGCGTGAATGTTTTTTTGCTTTGTTTTGTTTTGTTTTTATCACATCCAGATGGCCACATTGCCTCCATTCCACTTGTGTCCAGCATGCAGGAGTTCCAGTTTCTACCCTGGAACTTTCTCCTCCTGCTGTGCTCCTGGGAACACTCTGCCCAACCCCTCCACCTCTGGCACAGACCCGGTCTCCAATGCATTTGTATTTCTTGCTGCAATCTGGAATTATAAGTTAAGAAGAAAACCTCAGAACCAGGCTAAGTGGCTAAAAAGACTGCCCAGGGGCCTCTTTTTCCAGCAGGAGGCAGAGAGAGGCTTCCAACACCCCGAAGAGGGCCAATTTACCCCTATTCTTCCAAACACAAGGAATTGGCTTCCCCCCCTCCCTTTCAGCCCTGAAAACAAGCCAGGGCATTGAGAAGGCCATAAAAACAAGCGGTGAAAACAAGCCCTGAGGTTACAGGAAACCCTTCTCCCCATCACTCTTTGAGCGGCGGGAAGGAAGGGAGCCGCTGTCCTCTGGGTCCTCTGCCCTTCAGCCCCTCTGGAGCCCCACTGGCCTTCGCCATCTCACATCTGATCAATGCCCCCTGGTTGTGGCCACCACCTGCTGCCTGACCCCCATTCCATGCCAGCTTTTGCTACCAGAGTTTCCTTTTCATAAGTGGCCTTTTTAAAGGAAGTATTTTCTTTTAATCAGCAGTCACTGCATCTGCAACAGTGCTGAAGCAGAATTTTGTTATTTTCCCATCACTTAGCGCTTATTCGTTCCATTTATTTGGGGGAAGAGTCGCTAAGATTTCAGAGATTCGTAACTAGCTTGTGTGCAGTATCTGATTTTCACTTTGGCATTTGGAGGTGCTTTTGAAGGTGGTTTATGTTATCTTTCCAAGACTTACCTGGTGAGTTACTTAATCAAGAGAGGATTTTGAAACATACTACTTCTTAATATCTTGTCTTTTGTTTTTGTTTTGTTTTTTTGAGACAGAGTCTCACTCTGTCACCCAGGCTGGAGTGCAGTGTCATGATCTCGGCTCACAGCAACTTCTGCCCCCCCAGTTCAAGCGATTCTCCCACCTCAACCTCCCAATAGCTGGGATTACAGGTGCACACCAGCACACCTGGCTAATTTTTGTATTTTTAGTAGAGACGGGGTTTTGCCATGTTGGCCAGGCTGGTCTCGAACTCCTGACCTCAAGTGGTCCAGCCACCTTGGCTCCCCAGAGCGCTGGGATTACAGGCATGAGCCATTGTACACAGCCTATCTTGTCTTTTAAAACAAGTGACTTTTTTTTTTTTGTAGCAAAATAAATGGATAGCAACTCTTTGACACTGCTAGCAACTATTATTAATTGACTGCTTAGGGAATGTCAGCTGCCAGCCTGGGCTCATTCCCACTGGATCTTCTCCGCAACTCTCTAAGGGAGGTGTGAATTTTTGTATACATTTAATGTGTGAGGACACCAAGGCATGGAGAAGTTGACTACTATTAGTAACTTACCCAAAGTTACAGACCAGGGCAGAACTGAGGTGCAGATTCCATATTCCCCAGGGCCCTTCCTTTGTAACCATGGTTACAAAGCCTCTCGGAGGGAAGGTGGCGGGTTCTCCTGCAGGTCACTGCGGCAGCGACCTGGGTGGGGGTGGCAGACAGACACATGTTCTTGTTTGTCCTTACTCTTATCTGTGGCAGCTCTTCCTTCCGACTGCTGGTCCAGCTGATCCATGGGCCTTCCAAGTCCACACTAGAGGTAGAATCCCTTGTTCTAGATGACTCCTAGAGGCTCAGCATCTCTAATTCTCTGATGGGATGCTGACTAAGGCACAGGGGTTTCAATTCTATTTGGGAAGTGACCTGTTCCCCTCCATCTAGACTAGACAGATTTAACAAATAAAAATATAGGACCCCCAATCACATTTGAATTTCATAAAAATAATGAATACTTTTAGCATATATCATGCAATATTTGAGATATAAAAATCACTTGCTGTTTGTCTGAAGTTCAAATGGAACTGGGCATAGATATCCTGTATTTTCTCTGTCCCCCAGTAGATGCCCTTCCAGAGAGACCTGCCAGACTGAGCCGCTTCCATCAGCCAGACATGAGAATAAGGGTATTTAGGTAAGTGCTTGGTCAGCATGGAAGAGTCTTGGGGAACTGCGTGGGATGGGACAGGCTGACAAACCTCACAGGGCCTCAGTTTTCCTGGCTGTATAACCCTGAACAGGTTGCTAACTCCTCTGTGCCTGGGGCTCCTCATCTGTAAAGTGGGCATAAGAAAAGTACCAACCTCACAAGGTTGTTGAGAGGATAAAATGAGCTTAACACCTGTGAAGTGCCCACAGTAGCTCCTAATATACGCCAACATTAGATTATATTATGATCTAATATTACCCCAGCCAGTACCCTCTGTGGAAGCTCCAGGGCTGCAGGGAACCCTAACTGTGCTGGACTCACTAGCAGACAAAATATCAGTGCCCAACCTCGTGTCTCTGAGGATTTGCCGGGGGTACTTTTCATTACACTTGATTTTTGTTTTCCAAGCTGACTTGACTGAGTAGCACCCTTAGAGAAATCTAACCATCAGATAGACAGTCCTGGGTGAAAATTCCCATCCACCATTTCTCTAATAGTTGTGTGACCTTTGGCGAGTCACACTTTGTGTGAGCTCTGCTCACTTCACCTGTCAAATGGAGACGATGACACCCACCCCCAGGGCGTGAGGAGTTAACACCTGTGCTGATGCCTGCTACCTGGTAGACACCTGATACCAAGGCCGCTGTGATTAATTTACTCTTTCCACAGCAGCTGTTGTTACACTGTGTTTCATTTTCAGTTTACATGCTCTTCGCCCCACAGCCTGGGAACCCACAAGGATGGGGATTCCTTCCAGTCAGCTCAGGCTCCCATGGTCAAGTCTATACCAAAAACCAGGGAGGCACTCAAATATGGGAGAGGGAGGGAGGGAGGGAGGAAAGAAGGAAGGAAGGAAGGAAAAAAAGAAGGAAGGAAGGGAGAGAGAGGGAGGGAGGGAGACAGAAAGGGAGGGAGGAAGGAAGAAGAGGGAAAGGAAGGAAGGAAGGAAAAGAAGAAGGGAGGGAAGGGGAGAGAGAGAAGAAGGAAGAAGAGGGGAGGGAGGGAAGGAAGGAAAGAAGGAAGGAAGGAAAGAAAGGAAGGAAGGAAAAGAGAGGGAGGGAAGGAAGGAAGAAAGGGAGGGAAGGAAGAAGGAAGGGAGGGAAGGAAGAAGGAAGGGAGGGAAGGAAGACGGGAGGGAGGGAGGAAGGAAGAAGAGAAGATGAAGGGAAGGAAGGAAGAAGGGAAGGAAGGAAGACAGAAGGAAGGGGAAAGGAAGGAAAGAAGGGAGGGAGGGATGGAAGAAGGAAAAAGAGAGGAAGAAGGGAAGGAAGGAAGGAAAAGAGGGAGGAAGGGTAGGAAGGAAGGAAGGGAGGGATGGAGGAAGGAAGGAATAAGGAATCAAACTCTTCATTCTCAGGCTCCAGGCTTGTCTGACTGATCAGAGGAATGGATCAATTCTATTTGGGAAGTGACCTGTTCCCCTCCATCTAGACTAGACAGATTTAACAAATAAAAATATAGGACCCCCAATCACATTTGAATTTCATAAAAATAATGAATACTTTTAGCATATATCATGCAATATTTGAGATATAAAAATCACTTCATTCTACTACCTCATTCATTCTACTATCTCTTTCTGGAATCACAACTTAGGTTTGTAGGTGTCTAATTTATTATTATATGGTGCAGTGCAGGGTAATTATACACTGTGGTATAATTTGTTATAACTTGGACTGAGGCCTATAACTGTATAATTTAAATTATTATACAGTACAGTGTTGAATAATATGAAGAGTATATAATTTATTTCAGGCTTACGAGCCTAGCCTGTAATCCAAATGCAACACGCAGCCTATGCAGATGAGTTAATGTTTCTACGGAAACCTCAACTTAGATATTTCTTCATCTCTAGTTCCTTTCTTTGGGCTTCTCAGAACACCTGTGTTACCAGGTCTGGTACTTTTTGTTTGGTGCAAGGCTCACATGTCGGGTAGCTCTGGCCCAGGTTGAACCGGTCTTGCATATTGGGTCATAGAAAAGAAGGGCCCAGAGTTGTCACCCTGCCCAATGACAGTTGTCATCACAGGGAGGCCACAGCTTGCCAAAGGTATTGCTGGCAGCAGATGCAGAACCACGACCAGAGCCCCCATTTCTGGGTCTCCAGGAATGAGGAGGCTTGCAGCACCTCCATATATTTATTAGATAACTATTCTTTGCTCTGTTCTCAGCACTGGAAATACATCATGGGACCGGGCCCCTCATGAAGCTTACATTCTGGAACTTAAGAGCCTCCATCTCGCTGGTCTCTTGTTTCTTAAAGTGTGGACCCCAGGCCAGCATCGTCAGCATCCTCTGGGAGCTGGCTGGGAATGCAGCATCTTAGCCGCAAGTCCCACTGAGTCTGCATTTTCACAAGACCCCCTGTGATTCATTCACACTGGAGAAGCACTGCTGGAGTTGCTATATGATTTAGGGAATCATTTTCTTCTCTACTTCCCTTCTACCCAAAATATATACCATCTCACTGAGTTTTGAAGCAGAGTTCCTTTTTTTCTGTTTTGAGACGGAGCCTCACTGTGTGTCCCAGGCTGGAGTACAGTGGTGGGATCTCAGCTCACTGTAATCTCTGCATCCCCAGTTCAAGCTATCCTCCCACCTCAGCCTCCCAAGTAGCTGGGATTATAAGCCTGTGCCACCACACCTGGCTAAATTTTATATTTTTAATAGAGACAGGGTTTCACCATGTTGGTCAGGCTGGTCTTGAACTCCTGACCTCAAGTGATTCACCCACCTCGGCCTCCCAGAAAGTACTGGGATAACAGGCGTGAGCCTCCTTGCCTGGCCCCTTCTTCTTTTTTTTTTTTTTTTAAAGAAAATATATTTTTTTTCTTTTACCTTGGTCACAGAAGTTCATTATGTACCTTTTGGAATTATAAAACTATATATATATATGTATATTGTTTATAAAACAATACATATGTATATTGTTTATAAAACAATACATATGTATATTGTTTATAAACAATATATATATATAAAACTATATATATATATCTCTCTCTCACCCAGAACCCCACCATCCAGAAGTGACACTGTTAATATTTTAATAACCAATCCATCAGACTTTTTTGTACATACATATACTTTTTTTTCAAAATTTCAAGAAAAGATGCAATAGGGTTGTGTTCAGGCTCAGAAAACAATACCCCAGAATCTGGCACTTTGACGTGCCGAACTGAAGAAGTGGTTTCAAGGTCAATCTCTGACCTTCCCCTACCTCCCTGTCTCTCTGATCCTCTTACTTTCCCACAGCACCAGGAGGGGCTCTCTCTGGAATTTTCTTATCACCTAAGAAAGCTTCTTTCCAGGAGAAATGCAATTTCTTAAAACTCCGCCTCCCTAGGAATCTCATCAAATATCCAGGAAAGATTAACCACTGGAAAGGAGACTAGATGTAGTCACCACGTTCAGACAGACTTTCATCTATTTTTTCTGAGAGCAGCTCCTAGAGATTACCTGGGAAGCTTTATCTGCATAGTAAGACAATCTTTGTTACAGCGAAGTTCTGCCCCTCACCTTCCCACCGCCTCCCCCAGAGGTCAGAAGAATTTTGCCTCAGGCAGTTGTTCTTTAGGCTCGTTACATTTCCCCTAAAAAATCAGTTACTCCTATGCCTCCCATTTCCCCTTCCCTGATGAAGAAGGGTATATAAGTAGCTGGACCTCATTGGGTTATTGGGTAATCATTCTCCTGCAATTCCCCTGTGTTACTCACATTAAATAGTTTATTTTATTATTATTATTGTTTTTGAGAGACAAGGTGTTCTTCTGTTGCCTGGGCTGGAGCACAGTGGCACAGTCATAGCTCACTGCAGCCCCAAACTCCTGGGTTCAAGTGATCCTCCTGCCTCTGATTACCAAGTAGCTGGGACTACAGATGCACATCACCATGCCTGGCTAATTTTTTAAAAAAATTTTTGTAGAGACAGAATCTTGTTTTGTTACCCAGGGTAGTCTCAAACTTTTGGCTTCAAGTGATCCTCCCACCTTGGCCTCCCAAAGTGCTGGAATTACAAGCATGAGCTACCATGCCCGGCCTCGTTAAATACAATTTCTTATACCTTTTTCTTCTACTAATATGTCTATTATAGTTCATTTTCAGCAAACCTTCAGAGGACAGAGGAGAAGGTTCCCTTTGGCGCTTACAATTGCACAGTGGCTCTCAAAACTGAGCACGCATTCACCTGGAAGGGTTGCTCAAACATAGATTGCTGGGCCCTACCCCCAGATCAGAGGGTTTGGGACCAGGCCTGGGATTTGGTACTTCTAACAAGTTCCAGGTGATGTGGGGATGCTGGTCCACGGACCACACCTTGGGAAGCCCTGGCCTCAGTGTTCTGAGATTTCCTAAGCACCGGTAGTTGGAATCCAGCTCTGCCACCCGCTACCTGCTCACAGGAAAGTCAGGCTGCCTCTCCATGACGCAACTTCTAAGTCCACAAGGACAGCCAGTACCTGCCTTATAAGATTATTATTATTATAAGGATTATATGAGTTAATTAAATTAGTAAAGCACAAAGGAAGTATTAATTATGATGAATATGCATATAATTGTGTAATCAAGATTTCTTAACAATTGTTCAAAAACATTTTTCAAGTCATTATTCTTCAACATATTTGCTTTCAAAGGCTGTGGGCTTATCCTTCATAGTGATGTATTTATCTAGTCCACAGTCTTCAACTAAACAGTGCTGCAATGAGCATTCTCACGGATAAATCACAGTGCACCTGTCTGGTTATTTCCTTAGCATATAATGTGCTAAATGTGAAATTGCTGAGGAAAATTACATGAGCATATTTAAAACTTTTGATATGTTTTGCTAAATGGCCTTCCAGAAAAATTATACTGATTTATAATGCTACCAGCAGCATATGAGGTCATCTTTTCCTTACCTTGTTATTAATATCCCATGTTATTGGTTTTTTAAAACTGTGCCAATATTTTGTTTGTTAATTTGAATTTCTTTGATGACTACTGAAGTT